AAAAAAAAAAATTTATTGATAGAACAATTAACATTATCTGACTGCTGAAATAAATTTCTAATGGGCAAGCATTATGGTAGGTATAAATTGAGGAAAATATTTTTTCTCATTTAAAAAATTTTATTTTTTTTCTTCAAAAATTTAGTTTTTTACAATAAATTATATTTAAAAAAAAGAAACAAAATAATTTGTTAGAACATTCAACATTTGACTACTGAAATAAACTTATAATGGGCAAACTCTCAAAAATTAACTCGTTTTTTAATGGATAATATTCTTAAAAATACAATTTATTATAATATATAAAAAGGATTATTTATAAATTTTTATAAAATAATTCCAAATGGTTTTCCATTTTATAGTAAAATTACAAATTAAATATTTATAAATATTTTAATTTAGCTCATTCATATCATTTATTTATTGCTCCCTTTTCTAAAAATAAGGATTCTAGATTTTCATTTTCAGTACTTGTAAATTTAGATCTATTTATTTGGCAATTATTAGCAAGAAATGAATAACTTTTTGCAAAGACTTTATAACAAATAGGTGGTTATCTATTGTTTATAATGTTTGAATTAAACTTATATAATTATATTGATCCATCTAAAAAACCTAAGTTAAATTTTTCACCACAAGGAGAAAAACAGCATTCTGTTACTTAACATTAAAAGGTTTATAATTTTAATATCTGTTCGCCATTCTAACTATTATACATTCCTAATTATTTTCTGTCACCTACTAAACTTAAAAATAATTATTGGTTTGGGGAACAAGTTAAATACAAAATTTTTTCCTCAAATTTAAATTCTTGAAATTCTTTGTCTTCATCTATTAAGAATTTCCAAAAAATAAGTTTATTCTTTTCATTCCAAACTAAAGTTTATGAATCCAAAAATTTAATATTATCAATAAAATCTGTATCAATAATAGTTTTGTTTTTTATTAATTTTCTTTCTTAGTCATAAATAAATATAGTTTGAGTAAAATTCTTTTTCTTATTATCATTTTCGTTGTAAGACTATTTTTATGTCTCATATAATTAATATTTTCCATCTGATGAGACTTAGATTAATTTTTTTTTGCCATCAACTAATGGTAATTCTTAATAAGTAGCAAGCAAAAGATTAGAATTATAATCTTCCTTATGAATTAAATAATTATTTCCAATCAATGCTATTTGGCATTCTTAATCTTATACAATCTAAAAAGCTTTTACAGAATAATTATTTATCAAAAATCGTAACTGAATTGATTTTGGATTTGTGATGTCCCATAATTTTATGATCCAGTCATAAGCTAGGGATATTAAGAATTAACAATTTTAGGAAAACTAAATTGCTGAGTTCTAAATAATTGTATTGTAATTATAATGCATTCCAATTTAAAAGACTCTAACATCATACAATGTAGCTATTTTCTCGATTTCAGTTTAACTTTTTAATTTAAATATAAGAATTTATTCCTCTTTATTTGATGCAAATGCTAATAATTTATCTTTTGTACAAAAAGCATCAATGCTTTAAACATCTTTAATCTCAAGTTGTTAGGACAATTCTAAATTCTAAAAAACTTGAATTATCATACAAGAGAAAAGAAATGCTATAAAGATAAATTAATCCTCTTAGAATGGGAATATATGAACAATCCTTTTCTAATTAGTGAGCTCATTTTTTTTTTTAATAAATTGATTGTTAACTACTTAAAAAACTAAATATTCTTCCTGACATAATACAATGAAAAGCTCATCATTTAAAGAGAAACAGAATAATTATATTCCATATTTGCATACAATTTTTTAAATGATTTCCATTTTCGAAAGAGAATATATAAATATTTCTTTTCCACCAAATGATATTGTTATCAAGTTTAAACGATGCGATAAAGAAAATTTAAGAACATTACTTTCAAAAAAGTCCTTAGACTTTATTTCCTTTAATTTCATTTCAGAATCTACTTCAAATATTTAGAACTGGTTATTATCTATGACATATTTGCAATTATCCGAAATTGTAAATTTGATGGATTATTAATTGGAAAATTAAGTAGATAATTTATACCATTTTTCAGCTTATTTCAAATTCCAGAAAATGATACGAGTGTTAAAAATTTCGATTATTTGTTCAGAATTAGAGGTAAAATAAAAGAAATTGTTTTGTAATCTATTAATTTGAATACATATTTCAATAACAAATTTGCACATAAATTTAAAGACAACTAGTTTTCCACTCATCTTACAAATAAAAATATGTACCGGTATTATCAAATTTACAATCCAAAAATTTATAGTCACCATAATATTCATTTAACAATTATAATTCTTCTAAATCCCAAAATTTTATTTCACCATTTGATGCAGAATATAATACTAAGCCATCTGGTGAAACTAACATTTTGTTTATTGAGTCAATATGCCCATCCATTTCAAGATTCTATTATTGCCTTAATGCTTTAAAGTTCCAGATTTTTAATTTACTTTTATAACAACTTACTAGCATCCCTTTAGTCGATATCAAAACTCTGTATAAAGAATCAGTATTCATCTTTTACTTAAAAAGAAGTTTATAAGTTTTCATATCCCAAACTTTAATATGGGAATCTCTATAAGCGCTCACTAGATATTAATCATCTTCTGATAATTACAAATCAGATGATGATTTATAGTCTTCATCTTCAATTATGTTTATTATAGCATTCTTTTTTAAATCAAAAATTATTAATTATCCTTTAGCTTTAAATATCCATAAATCCTATTTATTTGTTGGTCGGATAAAGTCTACTTAAGCTTTTACATTTAATTTGTATTAATTAGTATTTGCATTAATTTCATTAAAAAATAGATTATGACATTTTTATGAAAATATCTATATTATATAGGTATTTTTTTTAAAAAAAAAGAAATATTTTTTTGCATCATTTAAAATATTAGCTTCATAACTAATACTGATAGAATTTGTAGTTAAAAAACAAATTTATCCTTATAAATTAACAAATATTATATGTTATCCATCTAAATACTATATAAATTCTTAATTTTTTGATGTAAAACCTACCAATTATGATTATTTAAAATTATCAAGATCAAAACGTTCAATAACAGACCCGATCCCTATTATCAGATATTAATTATTATTCATAAATAACATTGTGTGAGGAACACCGAAACATTCAGTGGATTTAAGCTTACGAGGATTTTCTCGATCCATAATTGTATATAAATCAATTTAAATTTAGTCTTTATTTTCATGTGCTATTGCTAAAATATCATCCACTTCGGATAATTATAAACAAAAAATTTCACTAGTATCAATATTAAATTGATGGATAATTTTTGTTTTAGAAATATCCATTGTTATGATTTATTAGTTCTTAGTTGCTAAACATAAAATAGATGAATTTGCAGAAAAAACAGCCTTAACTATTGGACATTCTTAAATATAATAGTAGCTCTATCCATATATCCTATAAATTTCTATAAATTCCTTTTAAAGTGTCAAAAATAATTAATAACCTTCATTTTCTACTTAAACATTCCAATAAAATTAATAATCTTTAGCTAATATTTCTTTAAGAAAAAATTTATAATACTAACTATTCTTTAAAAGTTAGATATCATCATTATTTGAGCAAAATATGAGTTTATGATGACATTTAATTGTATGCTCAATTTCAAAAATATTCTCTTATAATTTCCAAATTTCCACAATTCCTCCATGATATGTAGCAAATTTATTGCCATCATCATTAAAAATTGCAGCTATAGAGTCTTTCTCAAATTCTTAAATTTCCTTACCACACTAAATATCCCAAATTACAAATTTTGAATCTTTATTGATAATCAAATGACCTTATTTTTTTGATACTATCAAAAATTTAGTGCTTAAGGAGCTATCAATTTCCTAAAAAATAACTGGCTCTTGAATATTTGACATATCCCAAAGAAGTATACCATAAAAATAATTATATGATACTAAAACTTATCCATCAGAAGAAAATATTAAGTTAGTTATTCTAAATTTACTTGTAAATTTCTTTATTAATTTCATTTATTTTACATCCCATATTTACATAATATATTCATAAGCAAATGAAATTAAATTTTAACAATCATGAGAAAATTCCAAAACTTAGATATTCTATTCAGCTGACTCTAATACCCCTAAATACTATATTTAATTAAGTTCTTTCAAATTCCAAATATGAATTGTAGAACTACTTGTACAAGCAAATAATTCGAAATTATTTGAAATTGTAGCAACTACTTTTTTTGAATCTTCCAACTTATGTGGTATTCGAAAGTTTTACTAAAATTACTTAATATTGCTAGTTTGATATATGGCTAAATACTTTCTACCATAAAAAGCGATATAATTATTATCAGAGGAAATTAATGCTGTTTCATTTTTATTTATGCTTAAAAAAGAACAAATTATATTAAATTTTCTTTAATTGTTAATTTCCATAATAGCGTGGGAACTAGATTTGGTAAAAACAAGATAATTTCCATTTCTAGAAAATGCAATACTATTATAATCATCTTCTTTGTGCTAAATTTCTTGAACTTTTATAATATTTTGATAATCTTATATGTCCCATAAAATTATTTTGTTAACATTAACAATGGCTAGTAGTTTTGCATTGAGAGAAATCGCCATTTTAACATCTTTCCAGTTACCTTCCAGATCAGGTATTGACTCAGTAGTTGTTAATGTATTATTTATTTTTAAATTAAGCAATTCCTTAAGCCAAATAATTATATTATCCATGCTTATTATTAATTAACTTCCATCTTAACTAAGAATAACTTTTTTATATCCTAAATTTCTTAGGATTATACAATCATCATTGTTTATATTATTATTTTAATCTTACAAATTCCAGAGTTATATTGAATTCTTTGTTTCGCAACATATAATTGAAATATATTTTGCAGTTTAAATTTACAAAACATCATCCTTAAATTTTAAATTAAATTTCATTTCTATTGGTTTTTAATCCAATTTAAATTGATTAAATTATCTTAATATTATTTAATGCTGATCAAACAAACTCAAAGTATAAAATTCATTTCCATTTTCACTCAAAACTAAATCAGCAATTATTTCATTTTGATAATCCTTAGTAATTCGTTCTTTAGTAATTATATTATTCCATTCTGCATCAGTGATGATTGCATTATTAAAATTACATTAATCAATAGAAACTTTATTAAAAAAGGCATTAGATAACACACTCTCACAAAAGTTAAGTCCATTTATATTTGTATCTGACAGAAAAATTGAATCAAAATCTTATTTTCCTAGATTTTTTCCTAAAAAACCCAAAAAAAATATAATATTTGAGGCTAACCGAATAAACTTTGAGTCTTTTTTTGATAATTGAACTAATGACACTAATCGTTTTGTAATATTATCTTTATTTTATAGTTTTCCTTTGAGTAATATTAAAGCACCCTAAAAATGTTCATGTGATATATTAAATGAATTATTGTTCATCAAACTGTTCTAAAGTTAATATTTATCACTTTCATTATTATTTTATGTATTTTCTAATAGGTTAAATATATGCTTTGCTACAAAAAATTCTTATATTGATTTATGAGTAAATGAATGTTAACTTCCTTTAGAGCTTAATAGAATACATTTCCTTACTAATTGTTTATAATCAGAATCAGTATCTAATTCACTAAAATATTAATCTTCCCATTATAACTATTTTGATTAATTTTACTAATTTATTGAAGAAAACAATAATCTTCCTCTAGGCTGGTAATTCACTTAAAATTATTCATGTCTTATCATATCTAAAGCTAAAGATTAAGAAAATTCTAATAAATCAATTGAAATCATCTATGAATTAGATATTTTTCCTAATTCCATCCATTTTTATATTTATTGATAATGATAGTAATTAACGAACATCTCATAAAAATCATATGTAGTAAATTAATTCATTTTTAACGATTAATAAATAATCTCAGCATCATCAAATTTTAATATATATTCCTCCTATGATTGTATTATGGATGAATCTTAAAAATCTAATTTAGAAGATATTTAGTATTTGTCAAAAAATAATTGATTTTCTAATTCATTCATAATTTAAGATAATTGTTTTTCTATGATATCTTTGAAATCAGTTTCTAATTTAATTTAATTTTTTTATTGATAATTGTATTACACCTGCTTTTAATAAAGTATTTAATATTTCAATTTTTTATAATTATTTGACAACAATTCTCTTATTGTTGAAGATTACAAATAGTTATATGAGACTTTTGGTAAAATTTATACAATTATTTCCAACATAAATGGTGTTTTCAAAAAATCGTCAATTTTTAAGTTTTAAATTGTTTAGGTGAATTTTTATTCACTCCATAATGAAAGAAGTCCTTTTTATAAAAATAAAAATTATTGGTCTTTAACAAATTAATATTCTGGTATTTATTATAATTTCTTAACTATTTTTTTTCCATCTTGATCTTATACAAGGATATCCTATTATTATGAAGCATAAATAATTTCCTCGATCAAACTATCTAATTATAAACATATTTTTCTGAATTCAGAAAATATAAATCCACTGCCTTTTAATTATTTAATCATATCATAAAATTATGATAACTCTCTTATTATGCTCAGCTTCATAGATAGTTTTATATAAAGACTACTTTATTCTTAATTAAATGGAACTAATTAAACTTCTTTAAAGGTATCAATACTTTTTCCATAAAACCAAGATTAATAAGTTGAAGAAGTCAATATTTCTTCTCTACAAGTAATGATAACTTTGAGTTTCTATCCAGATTCTTTAAGATTTAGATCTTAACTCAAACGATTTGTTGTTATTAAATTTGTTTGAATAAATTCATTTTTCATTTCATCATAGCTATCCAATATTAAAACAATTTTTAAATTATCATTTTGGATTGCCTCCTTAAACTCTCTAATTTATATTTTATCAAAATTGTAAGTTTCTGATTCTAATGCCTAATCAATTAAATTATGTTATGGATCATTTAAAGAAGGTAAAGATATATAGATTGGATACCATTGATTTAGCTATTAAGTATTAAATTTCCATAAAAATTCTTCTACATTTATTGCTGCTCTACTTTTACCAGAACCAGCCTTTCCTTTTAGTAATAATACATCTTTATACCTTTCTTTTTCATCCCATAAAAATTCATTTATTTCACCATCATAATTATTTTAATCATCTTTTAACAGAAATGATATTTCATCAGTTTTTTATCCAGTTTTTGGATTAAATTCCTAAGTCCTCTATTCAACATATATTTAATTTAATTTTTTTTCTTCTTCTTATTTTGATACTTATTCTTTTCTTAATTTTAATAATTCATTAATACTCTTACCTCTCAATCTTCTAACATCATTTCCAATATCCGATACATTTTTTATTAATTGATCAAGTTAATATTTTATTGTTTACAAATTTTTGCTGATATCCTTTAAAAATATCATGGATATTTCTAATTTTTAAGACATATCGCTTAAATTATCTAAAAATATTTCAAATTCATCATAAGCCTACTAAAATTAAATTTATAATTCCTTTGAATTATCATTTTTAAAGATTTGATTCTCTAATTCTTCAATTTAGTTTAATTTATTTGTCATTTCTTTTTTTAATTAATTTGAAAATAAAGATAGATCTTTTGAAAATAGTTATTTTTGCATTTCAATCATATCTTTATTTTATAAAACCTTCCTTACACTAGGATTTTTTTCAATTATCCAAATTTGCTTTAAAAGGTTAGAACATATTTCTTATATAGTTCCCTCCTAAACAATATTTTATGTTCTAATCAAATTAAATGCAAGTGCTTCTCTCACTTTATAAGAATGATTATCAAAGATACTTAATATCCCTAAATTTTATTATTTAATAGTTTCATAATTTTATTATTAAAACATAAAACTCAAGTTTTCATCTAGTGTGATTTCTTCAAATTAATTGTTCATCTAATTTAATTGATTGATATTTTAATTAAATAATATTAAATACGATTAATATAAATCGCATTATTAAAATTAATTAAGTTTTTTTTCGGCTTCTTAATCAAGGCTATTTGAAATATTAACCTCTAATTTTAACTATGTAATTTAAATTTATTCCTAAAGGTTTGTAAGAATTTCTTCTTTAGGTGAATTTTTTTGACTATTATTATATGAGGTTTATTCTTTCTTTTGATCATTTTGCATTACTTAATGAATATTTTAATTAGTTTTTAATATAAATCTTATTTTTTTTGTCATTTACAATATATTACTTAAAGATTTAATTAAATTTTCAGGTTCTTAAGTATTTGTGAATTGATATACTTTATTCGTTTTATTCTAAGAATTCTGTATAATTTAATCTGCATACTTCTTAGTCAAATTTTCAAGATTGTTCTTATAAATTTCAAAGGCTTAATTTAAAAATTCATTTTTTCTTTGGGTCTTAATAAAATTTTCTAGAGTTTATTAATTACATCTTTAAAAATAGTTATAAAACTATTTTTAAATTATTAATCGAAATCGCTTTTAGAAATCCATTCAATATCTTAAAGTATTGATTAGATAACATTAGTATATTCTTATATTTCTCCTTCATTAGCTTCAGTAGAATAATATTTATTTTTTATTTATTCTAATTTTGTTTTTTAGCTTTTTATTTTTTTAAGTATTTAATCTTTAAAATTTTTCTTATTTTAACTGTTTTAATGATTGTCTTATTGTTATGTTTAACAATAAGTCAATAATTTAGTTAATTTTTCTTAAACTAATTTTTTTTTCATATTATTAACTTATAAAAGTCTATAAAATGTAAAAATTATAAGAGTAAGACTTCTACACTCAATTAAATACTATTAGCAATTTATTGATTATAATTCCCATTTCTCTATTGAGAAATTCTATTAAATATATAGTTTTGATTAAACTATCATTTCTTTGAAAAAAGTTTATTATTAAATTTCTTTTAACTTTTCTTTCAGTATTTCTGATAATATTGTTTTTTCAATTACTAATTGATATGTTTTCTGGCATAATATTGATGTAAAATTTAATTATAATTATTTTATTAAGTTAATTAATATATTTACTTCATTAATAATATCAGTAACAGTAGCTTTAAATTTAGCTTAATCATATGTATTTTCTTTATTAAATTCAATTAAATCCTTTTGTTTTAAAACTTCATAATTTTGATATATAAATTTAAATAACTGAAACCAAATATTAATTACTTAATCATTTTAAAAAAATTTATTTATTTTTTCAAAGGATTTAACAAAAGAATTATATTACTCTTCATTAAATTTTAAAATTTGCATAAATGTGATAATTTTTACTTTTTCTTAATTTAATTTGATATCAATTTCGTTACAAATATATATGGATTATAAAGTTTTTTATTTTAATTGTTTCAATTCATATTTTAGATCTTATTTCTAGATATTAAGTTATATTTATTATTCATTTTTAGTATTTAATGATATTATTTTTTTTTCTATTATTTCATTAATTAATTTTAAAATCTCATTTCTTAAATTTTCTAAAAGTTTATTTAACTTAAAAATTTCATCACAATTAGTTTAACTTCTCAATAACTATAATTTTAAATCATCGTCGCTTATACTTGAATTTTAATTATTATTAATTTCAAAATTAATATATTAATGCCATAATTTTAATTCATGAGCTTCTTTAGATATGAGATATTCTTAAAACAATTTTAATTCCTCAAATATTTAATAGGTTGATTATTCTACATTAAAAATTTAAACTCTTGCATAAGTTTTGTCATAAAGAATAGAAACTATATGTTAAGAATTTATTAGTTCTTAAAAAATTTCATGATCTGTTTGTTTGAGTTAAATTATATTTACAATATCTTTCTTATTAATTATAGGCCTATATGAAATTAAATCAGATATTAAATTTATCCAACAAAAATGTATCATCCAGTCTTTTGATGGAGCTATATATTTTTTATAACCTTCTTAAATTTATTTAATCTATTTTTATACAGAACAATTCGATTTTTTTGAGAACTGATTTAAAATAGACCATTTTAAGCTTTCAAAAAAGTAATATATTTCATATTTTTATATTGGGTTCTTTATTTAACATTCAAAAAAATTCATCAATATAAATTTACCACATTCATATAAAGAATCTATTAATTAATCACTAGGCTTAAGTTATACAATTGACAATGCTATTTCAGTTAATACTGCTAATCCTAATTATTTAGATTTCTAAGAATTAGTACGACAGTGAGAGAGCCATGTTTTTATCAATTAAATTTCAAATTCAACACCAGTTATCCAAATATTAGTGGATTCTATTTACATTAAAGTTTCAACATTATTAATTTATTCTAAAAAAACTTCTTTTAAGCTTTCTTGCAAAAATCTATCTTCTTTTTTTAATTGATAAGTAAAAATAACTCTTATTAAACAATTACAAATTTGAAGTAGTTAATAAAATAAATATCCTTAACTTCTTAAATATATATGAAGGCATTTAATTAAGTTTTCTAAAGTTTTTTCAATTAATGGATAATGTATTAAAGTCAATTAATCATTTAAACATAAGGACTAAATATAATTACCATTATCTTAAAACCATAAAAATGCTATCAAAACATCATTTTTTTTCATTTTATCAAATATTAGGGAAGCTTATTCGGCAATTATAATTGAATACTTTTAAATATTTGAAGAAAAATCAAAGTGAATATCCATTATTGGAGGATTAGAAGGTTAGGAATCTTCTACTTTTCCACATCCGCATCCGCCACCTCTTAACCATTATTTCTGTTGATGTGATATTAATTTGTGTGAGGGATTGTCTTTGTTTATAAAAACTCTTTCAAATTCTTGTATCAATCTTTAAATCTTTGTTATATTCTTGCAGCTCTTTGCTTTTCTCTCCATTAAGTTCATTATGATAGTAAAAATAATAATATCATTTTAAAAAAATTATTTTCCCTTTATTTAGAGGCTTTTGTAACTCTCCAAATAAATTTAATATTAATTAATTAGGGAATTTTTTTTTATTAACTTAATTTCTATACAATTATTTTTTCTATTCATTCTTTTTAATGTTATTAACACATTCAACTTTTAGGTAATATATTAATAAATTCAATATAATTATCTTATTAAGATAATCGAAAGTTACAATCGGAAAGCTATAAATTTTTGACTTACCAATATAGATTAGTTAGAAATAAAACATTATAATAAAAAATTATTTATTTGAGAAATTAAGAATTTTTTGCAAAGACTTTATAACAAATAGGTGGTTCATTGACTATTCTCGATTGAATAGGGCTATCCAATAACTAAAAGTGACATCATTCCAATTGATTTCTAAATGGATTGTTAGTTAATCACTTAATTCGCTGCCACTAAAAATTTAAATTATTTGATATACATCTATTTATTCCGATATAAAATATTCCAAAACCTCTTTTTCCATTTTTATATTCAGTTATGGGTATATTAGAGAGGCAATTTATAATATGAAGGGCGTACTTTATAAAAGGGTTCTACTATTGACGAGTTGTCTCATTTAGAGAAGTAGAAGAAGAATGTGAAAGCAATGAACATTGTTTTGGTTTGGATAAAACTCTTTGAAGTCCTTGGATTAGATAATGGCTAAGTATCTTCAAAATACATAATTCATTACTGGAAAATCTTTTTTCTAGTTCCTAACACCTATTATGTAATAAAGTAAAATATCATAATTATTAAGCTGTATGCAATAATAGCATAGGAAGGAGAAAAAGCTGATTCCTTTATAGTCATAAACTGCTGTATACAAAGGAAACTTAATTCATTCGTTACTTTTACCAAGAGATTGTTTTTGGAAGAATTCTCTATAAAAAACAACAAAAAAAATTGGGGAAGGATGTTAGAAAGTAATTGAAATTAGCTGTAATTCGAATTAGATAAATGTAAGTGAGTTTAAATTAAATTAGGAAAGATTGAACTAACTAACTCAGGACACCAAGTGTTTATGATGATTAATAGTTTTATTGTACTCGGTCATTGACCAAATTGGATAAAATCAAGTAAGAATCAGAAGATTATGTCATAAAAGATAGTACTTAGGAGTTTTAAAGAGTAAGACCTTAGTTTTGTGAACTAAATTATTAAAAATCAATTGGTCATGATTTAGATGGAACATTGTTTAAAGTTTCTTATAAACACTAAAAATATGTATTGCCCAAAATATCTAGGGATTTGATATCCGAATGGAACTTAGAAAAATAAATTAGACAGGAAAAAAAGATATCGGAAATTACCAATCTTTATAGCTAATTTTTATTATAACTATTTTGATCGATAAAATATATACTTTTTATAAGTTTATGTTAAGAGTAGAAATTTAGGAGATTATTTTCATGATAATTTTTAGATAAAGAAAAGGCATATTTTATAATTTCGTTGATGATATTTTATATTGTTATTAAAAACATTCTAATCTATGAATTATATCGAGAGAATTCAAGCCTAACAATTTCTATATATATATATTTAATAGATTTTAAATATCTAAGTAAGCATATAAAACCCTTCTAATTATTGGCAATCCCCACTACATATGCACCATAATTTATAGAAGAAAAATGTTATTCGCTTTTGGCTAGTATGGAGAGTAGGTGGATTTTTTTATGAATTTCTTTGTGTTTCGAGAAGATCGAGAGGTATATTATGTATAACATAAAAAATTAAAGTTGAATCCCAAAAAA